ATATGTGTATTAAATTTACATTTATGGGGAGATGGTTGTTTAATTTAATTTAGTTAAAAGTTAATATATATATATATAATGTATATGGGTCAAAGACGAAAAAGGGTTTAAGCATAAAAACAATGTGTAATACTGCTTTAATTTGTTGTTGTTTTTCCCAATTGTTTTAAAAAGTTTTCTGTTTAATTTAATTGCAATTTTGTTTTTGTTTTTCTGAGCAAAAAATAAATATCATACATTTTTCCCTGATTTACAGAAGAGAGCCACTAAAATATCATTCAGTGTAGCAATCATGTCAGGCATATTTACAACAAAAATCAATTTATGACATATTAAAAGACTAATTACTTTCACCCCAAATACTAATTGGACATCATATATATAATTTTTTTATTTTTTTGGCATATGGGGTTTTCACTGTAGCATTGAGTTTGTTCTTGCAGATTCAGTTTGGGTCTGTATGTTAATGCATCTGTGTGTTTCAGCAACATGGCAGTGTGTTCTGGAGGAAGGGTGCGAGACGAACCCTGAATCAGCTGGACCCACAGAAACATCTACACCATCAGTTACAGGTGACAACAACATCAGCTTCTCTGAACCGAGATCCTTCTCTCTGTCCTGATGCCGAGGGACTAACGTCCAGCGGTAATGGTTAATACTTCACCTGATGTATGACAGAAGCGGATTCATGGATATCTGCTTGAACAGGGCAGCAGAAAACATGTATAACATCATGCATACACCTGTGGAAGTGGGAGCATAAAATACACTCCGTAGTATAGTATAGTATAGTTGTATTGCATGCATACTGCTTCTGTATGTTGATATCTATCTGTATACTCGGTGTATTGTGTGTGCAGGAGTGTTTTGCGGTGCGGGACAGTCCGGTGTGGATGGACTCGAGTACTTCAGATCAGTGTCAGTGTCTGGAGACAGCAGTAGGAGGAGCTCAACGCCTCGCAGACATCACCGGCTCACGAGCGTACGAGGTGCGTTTAACCCCGTCCTGTACTGTAATTACATTCATCTAAGTTCACAGTGTCTCAATGTTTTGTGTATTTGCTCACCAGCGCTTCACTGGAAATCAGATTGCCAAGATTTATCACTCGAAACCGAAGGAATTCAGTGAGACGGAGGTAAAACTCAACGCTGAGATCAATACAATGCTCTCTAGATCACCTAAAAGCTGATTAAAAAAAATATTTCAGTAGAAAATAAATCAACAAAAAAACATTTCATGGAGTCTTTAAGATCAGTTCAGCAATTAAAATATATATATATTTAAATTGATATAAATTAGTAATATTATATATATATATATAAATATTGTCATATAATATTATTGAATATTATGTAATAAAAATAAAATTATATAAAATTATTATTAAAT